CATTTAATCTCAGCACTTGGGAGGCAGAGACAGGTGGATCTTTGAGTTTGAGGCCAGCCTGGTCTACAGAGTGAGTTCTAGAACATCCAGGACTACACAGAGAAACTCTGTCTTGAAAAAAAAAAATACACAATAACCTGAAAGCCAACATTTATCTTTTAATATAATTTGTGACGATTTAAGAGAGACATAGTCACCAGCATCCAGAACAGGAGCTGGTAACATGGTAGTTTCTCTGCCCAAAGTTGGGCTGCCTTTGTTGACTGTCTTAGTCACTGTTGTAATATTGTGAAGAGACACCATGACCATGGCAACTCCTATAAAAGAAGGCATTCAACCGGGTCTACTTACAGTTTCAGAGGCTTAGTCCATTATCATCATGGCAGAGAGCATGGTGACATGCTAGCAGATGTGGTGCTGGAGAACAGCTGAGAGTTCTACATCTGGACCTGTAGGCAGCAGAAAGGGAGACTGGGCCTTTTGAAACTTCAAAGCCCTTCCCTAGTGACACACTTCCTTCAACCAGGCCACACCTCCTGATCCCTCTAATGCTATCAGAGAGTTCCATTCCCTGGTGCCTAAGTATTCAACCATATGAGCTCATGAGTGTGGTGGGGCATTCTTACTCAAACCACTACATCAACCATTTTATTTTTTTCTCATGTTCTGAGGCAGTCACACTTTATAGCCCAGGTTGTTCGGGAACTCACTATGGTATCCAGGCTGCCCTCAAACTCATGGCAATCTTTTTTTTTCCTTGACCTGGATGTTAGGATTATAAGGGATGAGGCACCATTTTAGGGTTGACCCACTGAAACAAAGGGTTTCCCTCATAGCTTCCATGGCATCCAAAGCCAGTACTGAGAGGGAAAGGAAAGTTATTGGAGGGCAGCGTGGGTAAGAAGGGTTGCAAGGCTGGAGGCAGCTCCCATGCCCAGGAGCTAATGACCTTACCTCCCTGCTTCCCTTCCCCTACCCTACCTCAGGCAGAGTCCACCTAAAGATAGACAGCTCTCTTCATAGAACTCTGCTTTACAAGGATTAAAGTTCTTTTTTTTTCTAGACCCACGTATGTGTATGAATGTATGTATGCACATGTGAGATATATTTGGAGGCCATTGGAAACCTCAGGTATCTTTTCTTGGGTTCTTTCTTTCTTTCTTTCTTTCTTTCTTTCTTTCTTTCTTTCTTTCCTTCCTTCCTTCCTTCCTTCCTTCCTTCCTTCCTTCCTTCCTTCCTTCCTTTCTTTCTTCCTTTCTTTCTGAGACAGGGTACTTCACTGGCCTAGAACATGCCAAGTAGACTAAGCTGGCTGGCTGTGAAGTCCCAGGGATCCTGTTTCCACTTCCCCATTACTAGGATGACAAATGCACGCCATCATGCCTGCACCTTAGGTACTGGGAATCAGACTCCAGTCCTCGCGCTTGCAAAACAGGCACTTTATCTACTGAGCCTCAAGCCACATGGCCTTCCCTTTCTTGGGTCATATGTAACATCTCTAATGTCTTTATTTTAAGCCCTTATGCCTTTGTGTTTGCTTAAAAGGAATACAAAGAAATTATGTGTGTTCAACTTGCATGATATTATCATTTGAAGCAAGAAATGCAGTACAGCATTGCTGTTGGTTGGTTAGCCCGAGAAGTTCCTCAGAGATACTCTCACATTGTGTGTAGCTGGGATCCTCACTTATGCTGCAGAAAAAATTCAGGAGTTATTACAAAGCAAAATGAATTTACTAAGAAAAGGATACTATAAACCCAGTGTACAGTTATCGGCTTCTTAAGAGAGTCACATTAAAGTACCTCCCTCTCTCTCTCTCTCTCTCTCTCTCTCTCTCTCTCTCTCTCTCTGTGTGTGTGTGTGTGTGTGTGTGTGTGTGTGTGTGTGTGTGTGTGTGTGTGAGTGATGTGATTTTGTGGCTTTTGAAGTTACATTGTTCAAATGATGTCATTGATATCTAAGTTTAAAACATTAAAAATATTTTGGTGTACTCTTTTGGGGGGATAGTGTTGGGGATTTACCTTGAAGAATTGTGCATGCTAGCTAGGCAACTGCTTTGCCAAATGAACCACATCCCTGGCTTTTGTTTAGAGGATTTTTATCCAAAGGTGGCTTATGAGGTAAGTGGTACATATTTACAGACAAGAAAGGAGTACTGAGCCGAGGGTGGTGGTGGTGGTGGATGCCTTTAATCACAGCACTCGGGAGGCAGAGGCAGGTGGATCTATAGACCAGCCTGGTCTACAAGAGCTAGTTTCAGGACAGATTCCGAAGCTACACAGAGAAACCCTGAAAAACAAAAACAAAACAAAAACAAAAACAAAAACAAAAAAAGGAGTGCTGTTAAGATAAAGGCATAGGTCAAAAAAAGTCAAAGTAGTATAGTAAAAGGTCCGGCATGTGTTTTGATTATAAATATGGTTCACATACCTGCTTGTAAGATGTCAGAAAAATATAGTTCAGAGATGAGAAAGGAATGGTAATAAAGTTAAACTTGTTACTTTGTTTGGGACTTTAGCATGGTCATTAGTTTATCATCTATCTCTCTTTGTGCCCCCCTTTCCCGACCCCATTTTGTTTTTGAGACAGTGTCTCCTGTAGCCCAGCTGCTTATTAATTCTTGACTCTCAGCCAGCAAGAAAGGCAAAGTAGACTGGGAGGTGGTGAAGCATCCTTTGCCGTTCTGTCTCTTTTCTTTGCTCTTTCTAGCCTGCCCTCTGCTTGCTTATTTCATACCAATCTCGAGCTTTAGGTATGGCAGGCCCTCTACCTATCAGCTATTATGTATCAGTTCCCTTTCCAACTTTTGAATCAGTGTCTTGCTATGTTACCCAATCCAGTTTTACCCACAGTCCTACCGCCTCATATTCCAAGTTCTGGGATTATAGGTCTATGCCACCATGTCTGTCTATAGGTACTCTTACAGTATAGTTTCTGAAAGCATAAAATTCTGTATTTGTGTCAATTCCATTTCAGTTTTTTTGTTTCCAGTTAGGGAGTTCAGGTACTTGAAGCTCCTTGGTAAATCATGATAGTGAGCATTCCATCACAGATCTGTAGTGAGTCATTCAGCCCACCTATCCACAACTGTATTTGAGAACTTCTCCCAGATTTACCCACCAGGGAGGGACCACTAGATCATCCAGCCTATGTATAGTATCACAGAGGACATCTGTGTCGCATTAGCAGGGTGGCTGTGTGTTTGCATTCTTACCTCAGTGCATGATTCTTTTTTCTTTTTCTTCTTCCTTCTTCCTTCTTCTTCTTCTTCCTTCTTCCTTCCTTCTTCCTTCTTCCTTCTTCTTCTGTTTTGCATTGGTGTTTTGCCTGGATATATGTCCATGTGAGGGTGTCAGATCTTGGATTTCCAGACAGTTGTGAGCTGCCGTGTGGGTGCTGGGAATTGAACCTGGGTCCTCTGGAAGAGCAGTCAGTGCTTTTAACCACCAAGCCGTCTTTCTAGCCCCCAGCGCATGATTCTTGCCTTCCCATAGCTTGTCCAACTTTTGCTACTTTCCACCACCCTGCTAAATAGAAAGTCCTTTCTCATTAATTATGCATTTTGGTCACACTTAGTATTGTTAACTCACCACTGACCAGCCACTGTCCTACTTTGAGTTTGATCATTTATATGTTGGTAGCCACTTAGGCATCCCTTTCTGAAAGTTCTTTCCTCATCTATTTGGTCCCTTTTGCTGTGAATTTCCTGTGATGTCACCAAGTGGAAGGCTCTTCTTCTATATTATAGATATCTATCCTTTTTCAGTTCTAAATGTTAGACTTTTTTCCTTGACTTCATTCCTTCTAATTCTTTTCATGGTCTTCTGTATTGGACGGAACACCTTAATTTTGTTGAAGTCAAATGCAGCAAATTTGTATTTTTAGGGTTTCTTTAGCATTCTTTTGATCTCTGGTGTTCTGTGCTTTAGCGTTTATCCCAACACTGGTTTTTCAAACACTTTTACTTGTGGCTTTTTGAAGACTTAATTGTTTCCTTTTCTATGTCTCCAATTGGGCCTGTGGTGTTAACTTCTTAATGAGTTTTAAAAATGCAAGGAAATGGATGACAAGCCTCCCCTTCTCTAAGCTCTTCCAAGATTGCCCTTTGACCCTGTTTCTACTGTATGAATCCTGTCTGCTCAGCTATAGCCAATTCAAAGGGATGTTTGCCTCCCAAAGCTGTGTACTCAGCCTTCCTCTAAGGAATTTGGAATTAGGCCAGTCTTAGCTAGTTTCTTGAAGGAATTGTAACTTGAGAGGTTTGGAATGACTGTCTTCTACTGTGGGCACAAAGAAACTAGCGGAGTTATCTGAAGAAAGAGATTGAAGATGTGAGCAAAGAAACAAAGGGAAAAAGTTATGGTCCCATAGAGAGGAGTTTTCGCTAGAATGTGAAAGTAGCCAGCCTGGATCCTGATGACTTTCCAGTTTCTGCTTCTGGTCTCTCCTGAGACTACATTACATTTTCTTTTGTATTAGATAGGGGTGGCTAACCACTGTAACAGATAGACTCCAAAGTGTATAATGGCCCTTACATGATAAAAGCTCACTTTTCACTTACACATACAGGACCAGATGGTTCTAAGTTAACAGGGTGGCAGCAGTAGAGGCCTGTGCCACAGTTACTTAGGAACCAAGGTTGATGGAGGCTCTGCTGTTTGCAACATATGACTTTTAAGGTCTCCCTGGCCATTAGTATTCATCCTACATAAGGAAATGATCATGTAGTTGAACCTATGGGAAGCTTTAACTCTACAGGAGGCTGGGAAATGTAGTTTAGCTGTGGATCCCAAAGGAAGAGGAAATGGGCTTAGTGAACAAGTAGCGATTACCACAACATGCTTTGTATCCGTATGATACTTCTATCTTTCTAATCAAATTCCTGTTATTTTTTCCTTAAACGTGTTTGAGTTGCTTCTGTTATTTGAATTTCAATGCATGAGGTGTTTTTGCAATGTCCATATTTAAAAGAGATAAAGCTGATTAATTAATTTTCTCAGGAAAATTGGGCCGATTTCCACCTATGATGCATCACCACTCGGCACCCTCAGATGGCCAGATGCCTCATTTCCAGAGGTCCCACCTTGCAGAGGCTTTTGCAAAGGCCAAAGGAGCAGGTGGAGGTGCTGGAGGAGGCGGTAGTGGAAGAGGACTGATGGGCCAGATCATTCCAATCTATGGCTTTGGGATTTTTTTATACATACTGTACATTCTGTTTAAGGTAAGTGGAATTGTTTTAGACATATGTCAGTAAAAAGCTAATGTCATTTGTAATAAAAATCATCTCCAGTAAAACCATGAAAAGGTCACACAGCCCTTTCAAATCCATCATCTCTTTTAAAACTTTATCTCTTTGAACTAAAGGATGGCTGTCATATCAGTTTTATAGGTGAGAGGTCTTAGCATAGATTTACAACTAAAATGTAAAGCCAGGGTTTAAACTTGGATCTTCTAGTTCATAATCCAGTCAGCACCGTAATTCAAAGGAAAAGAACAAAAGACTAGGCATAAGAGGCTTGTTTGTAGGATGAAAACCAAGGTTTCCAAGTAGCCACTGTAAGGCCACATATAATGGTGCCAAGATATAAGATACTGTGTCTGATGTCATCTCTATAATTCTCCCAAGACAAAACTGTCATATCTAGACACTAAGCACAACATTTCCTGGTTCTGGGATATTATGCTAGATCCTTTAAGGCAGACCACCAATTTAGTTCCACCTCCAAGCAGGTTTTTATAGGCTACAAGCTTGTTCTCTGTGAAGAAGTGTAGAACTTTTTTTGCCTTATACTCATGCTTTGAGTAAAGTAGGGAGATTTTAGTTTCTTCTCACCCAGGAATTGTGCAGGCAGCCTGAGTTGATCATGAGGATGTCCCCGGGTGCTGCACATCGCCTGTCACTTGGATGACAGCCCAAGTACAGCAGACGACTATAAGGAGATTGATTGTGCTTTCTTTGTGCTTTGATTTTTGCTTTGATCATTTTTACATTCTTGACTCTTTCAGTGGCTTTTAAAAAGACATTTCTCTACTGGTGATACTTGGTTTGATTTCTGACTTAATTTTTGTCTCCCAGCCTTTTCTGTCTTGTCATTTAATATGCGGTTTTCCATGACTTTGAGGTTCTGAGCTGCTGTTGATGTGCTGTGCCTCCTTCATCCTCAGCTTTCAAAGGGGAAAACTGCAGAGGATCGGAATTGCTCCACTGCCCCACCTGGGAACACCCACAGGAAGATAAGTAAGTGCTCCTTCCCATATATTCAGTGTTACTGAGTTGGAGTGGAATATATCCAGGGGGACAGTCTGTGGTTATGTCCCTAAAGCATTTCTCAAAAGTGTGTGGATATTGGACTTAAAAGGCTAATGCTGAAACAAGCACAAGGCTGCTAGCTCTTTGATACATGTTAGCAAATTAATGGTCAACATTTGGCTTAGTTACTTTTCACTTTCAGACTTCAAAACATTTGTAGCAAAAGTGTTTATTTTTCAGATGAAAATTGAGGGAGAAATTGCATCACTGTCACAGTCTATTATTAGCTGTTGACACATTGGAGTCTTGAAATGTGCTGTCAAAATAGTTCCCATCAGAGTATTCTGTGCTGTCAGAGGAAATGAAATGTATATATCGTAGTCCTTTTCTCTAAGAATTTATAGGTTAGAATGATTCCAGGAAATAGAATCTATGGCTTAAAGAGCTTGCTACATAAGCGTGAAGACCTGAGATGGAAGCTCCAGTACTCATGTAAAGCCAGGTATGGCTGTGCACATCTGTAACTCCAACACTGGGGAGCCTTAGGTTTCCCTGGCCAGCCAGCCTAGCCAACACAATAAGCTTTTGCTTTTTTGTGAGACCCTGTTTCAAGGGAATAAGGGAGAGAGTGACAGAGGAGGACACATCTGCACACTAACTTGCATGGGTTGCACACAGACACATACTTCACACAGGAAAAAAAATAACTTGTGAGAAGGCACTACCTAGAAAGAGAGGACTTGTCAAAGGCATTGTGGAATCGTGTCTGGATTTCCTGAGTAAAACTTATGCAAGCATCAACTCTTGAGCTTCTTGAGGGCTGGATGGTGTTCATGGTCAGCGGCTGTGGAAAGGGTCTTACTGTGGACCCCAAACTCACAGAGTTCTGCCTGCCTCTGCCTCTGCCTCCTGAGTACTAGGATGAAAGGTCTGTTCCACCCCAACCATCAAAGGTTTTCTTTTAAATTTATTTTTAAGGTTTTCAGATTAAAAGACATTTTTCTCAAAAGAAGTTTTTAAAAGTAAGGCATCAGTAGAATGAAGTGGGTATGAACCACAGAAGCATCTTCCCTAGGCTGTATCTCCTTTTGGAATTATTTCTGGATTCCCTATTGTGTTAAATCCTCAGTCATATTCCACATCCTTTGGAAATCTTAACTAGTCAAGAATCTAAAGAAAGCTGCTATGTCTGATCATGAGATAGTAGTGGTACATATATCAGTAATGAAAAGAAATTGTAGACAGTAGGAAGTCTTGAACTGATGAGAGGATTCAGTGGGTGAAAATGCTTGCTGAGTTTGATCTCTGGAACCCATGTGAAAAGGCAAGATGTTGTGGTATGCGTCTTAATTCTAGCAATCCTTTGCTGACATGGGAGGCAGAGACAGGAGAAACTGTCCAGAAGCTTGCAGGCCAGCTAGCTTGAAGTGCACCAGAAATGAGAAATACCCTGCCTCAACAGACTGCAAGGCCAGAACACACACACACACACACACACACACACACACACACACACACACACAGGTGTTTGTGCCACACACACTCAACACATACACAAAAATAAATAAAAACAAGCTAAAACACACATTCTAATAATAAATAAAATTTTAAAAAAAGTCTGTTAAGACTGTCAATTGTCAGAGACAGAAAGATGTATGTCAAATGGTAAAATGGACTCCTAAGACTGCTTTTTATAAGAATGGCAATAGTGGTGAATTAGTTATATCCTTTATTTAGGAATCATGCAAAAATAACTACATGTAGGGGGCAGAGTTACACTATAGCCTGGTTTATTCTTATACTAGACAACTAGGTCATGGAGGTCTTAACCATAGTTCATGATTTCCTTTTGAAGATACGTAACAATGACACTATTCATTCCTAGATGCTTCCAGACCTTAAGTACAGGCAAACAGGGCTCACTTCAGAGTCCTGATCCTTTTTTCTAGTACTGTCTAGGCTTGGTGCCTTACCCAGAAGCACTGTTTGGTTTACAGTCATCTGCTATGTTCTTCATTTATTGTGGGGTAACTTTGCAGGTAGGGTGCTTTTCAGTGTTGGATGTTTTCTTTAGTTGGCTCTGCTAGGTTACTGTGTGGAGGAGGGAGTGATTTAGTTGTCATTCCCTAAGTGAGTGTATGTTCTGTTGATACTGGTGACCAGACCTCCAAGCCTTTTCTGTGCTGATTGTATTAGTTAGAGAAGCTCATGTCTATTCTCTTGAGTCTCTGAAGAAGCCTGGATTATCACAGATCATTTCAGCTAGCTGTTTCTTGAAAGAGTTTAGGGAATTGCATATAATGGTTCTTAGATTGATGCTTGTTTTTCAGCCAACTTTGAGCTTGTTCAACTGCAAGAAAAACTAAAAGAGACAGAAGAAGCCATGGAAAAATTAATCAATAGAGTGGGACCTAATGGCGAGAGGTAAGTTTTCTTTTTTCTTTATTTGTTTTTGAGGCAGGATTTCTTTGTGTAGCCTTGGCTGTCCTAAGCTAGCTCTGTAGACTAGGCTGGACTTGACCTCACTGAGATCCATCTGACTTTTCCTCTGAGTGAAAGAAATGAGACAGTGTGGTAATTCATCAGGTAAAAGTTCTTTTTGGTTTGTTTTTGTTTTTTAGAGACAGGGTTTCTCTGTGTAGCCCTGGCTGTCCTGGAACTCACCCTGTAGACCAGAGTCACAGAGATCCTCCTGCCTCTGCCTCCCGAGTGCTGGGATTAAAGGTGTGCACTGCCATGCCTGGCTTGAGAGGTAAGTTTTCATCAAATAGGACTCAGAGTACACTTTTTGCTTTTGATGTGTAGACTACATGTTTCTTTTATGTAATTGTCAGCTTAGGTGTAATATATGTATTCTTTCTCAATTGACATTTCCATTTTCATACTATTGAGAAACCTGTTTTCAAGCATTAAATGTGGTACACATTATTGTGAGAGTTTGTGAAAGTTGTAAATCTTGTAAAGTCAAATTACCTAGTTTTAAGAAGGCTCTTTCTTAGTTGTCTAATGTAAAATTTTAAGTAAAACCTGTCTGGAGAGATGACTCAGTGGTTAAGAGCACTGACTGCTCTTCTAGAGGACATGGGTTCAGTTCCCAGCACCCACATGGCAGCTCACAACTGTCTGTAGGTCCAGTTCCAGGGGAGGGGATCCAATGCTCTCTTCTTACCTCCCTGGGCATTGCACACATGTGGTGCACAAGCATATATTCAGGCAAACACTCATACAAATAAAATAAAAAATAAAATCTCAAGGAAAAAAACTGACATCACAGTAGACATTGTTTTGTGTTGACTCACTCCTAGTAGTGCAGAATTAAACATGCAAAATAGGTTATCAAGGTCAAATTAACCCTTTAGGAAGGAACACTTCTGCTCTACCACACTGGCCAAGGATCTGAAAAGGTAGGTGCAGGAGGTTCATGAAAATGGGAACAGCTAAGAAAACAGGACACACACACACACACACACACACACACACACACACAAAGCCAGGAAGGAAAAGCCAGAATGTGATTTTGTGTACCAAGACAGAGTCAGTCTCAGCTGACTCTCCTTCTAATGAGAGAAGGGAGAAGGTCATGGTGGGCCATAACAATTTCATGCAGGGTACAGGACAGTCTCTCCCACACCTTCATAGACTGTGGAGTCTTTGATGTAAGGAACAGACCTTGGTCTCTTTGTTTGCCATCTTTGAAGTATTTGTGCCCTGTGCCTCCTCCTTTGCTCACTGACATCTAGTTTGCCCGTCCTTGGTTGTATATCAAAAGAGTAGGCAGCTGGGGCAATGGTGGAGCATGCTTTTAACCCCAGCACTTGGGAGGCAGAGGCAGGTGGTTCTCTGTGAGTTCAAGGCCAGCCTGATCTACAAAGTGAGTTGTAGGACAGCCAGGCCTGCACAGAGAAACCCTGTCTCAAAAAAACAAAATAAAATAAAAATAGAAAAAAGAGTAAGGCATCCTCAAATTGTAGATTTGTGGCCTGAAATTTCCTTATAATAGCTCCTGTGCTGCTGAAATGCTATTCATGCAGATAATCAGTGGAACATTGCTTATCTATGTCAGGAACTTTGACCTTTTTATAGTTTAGAAAGTAGGCTTACAATCTAAAATGTTTTCTAAAGTCGCATATATACATGACTGTATCTGTGAGTATGTAAATGTTGACTAAACTTACTAAAGACTGCTCTGAGCTAATTGCTTTTATAAACATTATCTAATGTACAAATGTATGTATAACTACATATATTTTTGTGGCTTTCCTGTATGTGTGGAGAACTATCCTGACTTTTATAGACTCTTATGCCTCAGATAAATATCTGTACCTTGGTCTGGGCTGTTGACTGTCCTAAGTAAGCCTAAGGCTCATGAACTCCATAAATGAATATCTATGGTTAGAGCCCCTTACTTGGGAGATGCAACCCCAGGTTAAGAAACCATACGAAGATATCCATTTTCACCCACCATGACTCAGACTCAAATTAAATGATCCATCACTTTCATCCAGTGTGTACCATCTCTCTATTGACCTGGCAGGAGTTCAGTACTGTAACTCCTAACTACCTTCTGTCTTTGTGTTGTATGTGCAGGCCCAGGGGAAGTTGTCCCTGTACTACAGCTAGAGTTGCACCATTTCTTTGTTCCTGGGGACACACAGGTCTTCACCTCTGTAATGTCTTATTCTTTATAAGATACTGAGGTGTGGATCACTTGAGAACATACTTATTCCAGCCTGCAAAGCAGCAAATATGTAGTGTTACCTGGAATACTTCTCAGGAGCTTGAAGGCAACTCTACTTCCATGAAAGCACATTCCCTGGTGGCTAAGGACATTAGGCATGTTTTAAAGCACTTATTGGCATCTGTTTTTTTTCTTTTGAGAAGTCTAGTAGCCTATTCATTGATTGGATGATTAGATTTTATTGTTTAATTTTCTGTTCTTTATATATTCTTGATGTTAATCCCCTATCTGATTTGTAGCCAGTATAGATCCTTTACCATTTTCTGCAGGCATCTCTTCACTCTGGTGATTGTTTGCTTTGCATGCTGTGTAGAAGCTTTTCAATTTCACATAGTCCTATTTGTCAGTTCCTATGGAGTCTCCTATGCTATTTGGACCCTTGAAATAAAAATTCTGTGCCTAGATGATGAAACGTTCACGTCTTGTCCTCTAGCAAGCTAAAAGTTGTAGAACTTAGCATGACCTGGGTGGCTGGGCCTTACAGACTCTTGAGTGGACTCTCTTCTATTTTCACGCTCTCCATTAAGGCTTTGATCCATTTGAATAGGTTCTTGTTCAGGGTGCACCAGGCTTTCTTCTGTGCCTGCCTCTGTGGCATTTTTCTTCTGCAGGTCTAGCTTTCACAATTATCAGAAGAGATACAGATGCTCCAGTGTTTTCTGTTAGATTTTCTTTATCATATCTTGACTTCTGTGGGGCAAGGAGAGGATTTAAGATAAGCTTACAGGCTCCATCCTTTTGTATAGTAGTCACATACTACATACTTTACCTAATGTTCCTGACTACAAGATGTTGGCCTGAAACTGAGAAATAGTCAGTCCTGAAACTGTACCTTACTTTTATCTATGTATGAATAGAAACACAGACATGGTTCCTGACGTGACTTGTACATTTTTCAGACACCCTTCACCTCAGTGGTATAGGTCTGTATACATGCAGTGACCTCTATGCTATGTCTGACATTAAACACAGTATCAAACTCAGAGATAGAGGTTAAGGAACTAAGGTGAGATATGCTTATTTCTGCCTTTAGAATTAGCAAGGTTTCCTCCTAAGAGTAGTATGTCTGGTCAGAAATAACTTACCTGCTAGAAAGGAAGTACTGGTTGTCAAAGAGCCTAGTCCTGAGTGGCCTGGCCTTGAGACCCTCCCTTATGTGCTGTCTTGTATACCCCCCCAACCCATGTAACTACTCCTTTTTCCTCTAAAACATCTTTTGCATCTAGAACCTTGCAAACACATTTTCCTTTGCTGAAGCATTGACCTCCCACCCCACTGCATGCTCACTTTGACTCTGGGTTGCTATAGAGCTCTCAACAAGGACATCATTTTCTCTAAGAGTCCTTACCTGAAACCACAAAAGCAGGGTGGTCCTTTGTGTTCACATCTCCTGGGCTTGTTGGGTGCTATATACAGCTTACTGCCATCTAGGAATGTCTTCCCTAATGTCCTGTAACCTTTGGGAGAACAGAATCATCACTGTTAAGTCTTGTTTCTCATGCTGGAGCACCAATCATGTCTGTAACTGTGAAATAATGAATATTTAAAGCAGGGTCTCTAGAAACAATAACATCTTCTTTGGAGCCTCTTTTTCATTTGTTCTGTGAAGCCCTGTATGGTTGATAATAGCAGGTAGTAGTTTCTCAAGAGTAACTATATCTGGGAGAGTGATAACCTCAGATCTGCTGGCTTAAATATTGTAGACATTCGCTAGAGTTGTGTGTGTTAGCAGTCCTATATTGAGTGAGAATCATTGGTATTGGCAGGATTTTTCTTGCAAGGCCCTATGCCAGAATCTGTTTCCTTGAACTTTTCAGCTTCTAGAAATTGCTCATACTCTGGCTTATGGCTCCTTCCCTTATCTTCAAAGACATCAATATTGGGTTGAGACCTATTCAGATTGTATCACATTAACTTCTACTACTCTCTTTTCCCACTTCTAAGGATCCTCTTAACAACAGGTAAAGGGATGAATGGTGTTACCCAAACCTATAGCAGAAGAAGAAGAGAGACTTGTCCCCAAAGGAAAACTAGATAAGAACATGGAAGGAAAAGAAACATACAAAGATGCCTGAAGATTTATAGTATTTCCTGGGAGATTCTGGCATTAACTAAGATAAAACACAGAAGAAAAGAAAGAAAAGAGATTTTAAGGTAGTGGACATGGGCTGAACTTTGAATATGGTTGAGATGCTGTCAGAATACCCACATATAATATATAACAGCAACAGGACTATGTGTTGTTGGGGTTAAGATCAAGGTCTTGATGAGGGATGTGATCACCAAATCGTTGAGGCCATCATGTTCTGTTATTACCCTTGGTCTTTCTGTTTTGTTCTCTCTATATTTAACTCTTGGCTTTGGGCTTGATGATTCCTTTGGTTAAAAGTCAGGTGGCATTATTTTCCACCTCTGACCTTATTCTAGCATTTTGGAATCTGCCATAGACAATCTACTATCTTGCTCTGCTTGTTCAAGTAGCTTCTCATGATTCTTGGCCATGTGGGTCCCCATTTTGAAGGATTGAATTTTAAGGTTAATTTGAAATTTAATGTGATGACAAGGCATCAAGTCGAGATACTGAGAAAATAATTGGGCCACATGGACATCCATGTAAAAAGTAAAGACTCAAGATAGGGTTAGAACACCTTCTCTTCAGGGTAATGGTGTAATCTGTGATCCTGGGTTAGCCTTTCTGGAGTGTGACTGTGAGAATGGAGACTCGGGAGTCCTAAGATTGATCCTTCTTGATTGCCAGGCTTTAGTAAGTGAAGAGAGTAGGTCAAGGTCAGAACTAAAAAGAAATGATTAGAGAAGTGGGAGGGTGCAGATGTGTTCCTGGCTAAAGCAGGAAGTTTCAGAAGGATGCTCTGTAGTAAGAAGAATCAAAAAGAACAAACTGGAAGATAAAGACCCCTGGACTCAGGAGTAAAAGTCACTGATGGTTTTTTTTGTAAGTTTTGGTAAATGATGGGGTGGAGACCATAATTCAGAGAGGTAGAAGAAAACAGTGAGGAATGAGTACCAGCCAGATGGATGTGTAGGTATTCAGAATGATGAGTCTGTGGCCATGCTGCCATGAACATGTCTGACTGCCCTTCAGGAGTTTCGAGGCAAGCTGAGACAGTATGAATTCCATAAAAGTTTTCATTGTAGTAAATCCTGAAGATATGATCATGTGTGTCCTGTACTCTGTATTTAATGGGCAGCTCAGACACACATTTTCAAAGTTAAAAGGATGTTTTAGTTTGGAATTTTATTTGTTCTATTTTAAAGGTTTCCATTTCCCAGGAGTCAGGAAGCAGAGGCTCAATTTTGTTTCATTTAGTAAGTGTCAGAATACTCCATGTACAGTTAGAGAAGTGGTCTGTAAAAACTGCTGGCCAGAGCTTTGTGAAAGCACATAGATTGTCCTATTCTGCCCCTGAATTCTACCACAAAATGAATCATTTTCATCAGAGAGGTTGGAGAGCTGAGGTGGTTTTGTTTCTTTCCCAGTGAAGATGGTGGAAGTGGCACACCCTCCTTTTCCTTAGTTACAATCTTTTTTTAATAATTTATTTTATTTGCATTGGTGCTTTGTCTACATGTGTGTCTGTGTGAGAGTGTCAGATCTTGGAGTTACAGACAATTGTGAGCTGCCATGTGGGAGCTGGGAATTGAGCCTGGGTCCTCTGGAAGAGCTTTCAGTGGTTTTAACCACTGAGCCATCTCTCCATCCCTCCTCAGTTACAATCTTAATGTTTGAAGGAGAAGCCTCTTTTTCCTGTTAGGTGAAGTTTGTTAGGTTGTTTTCCTCTCAGGTGTGTCGTTATCCTCAAGCCTTGTGCTGTTCTTGCAGATATTTGCCCAGAACCACTGCTAAGTTGGCTGTCATATGAAATCTAAACTGTAGAAGTTGAGTACTGTGTGGGGTATGGGCTCATTGGTAGAGTGTTTGCTTAGAGGAGTTCTAAAAGAAAGGAGAGGGAGTGGGGAAGGAGAGGTGGGAAAAGAAAAGGCACAGACTGTAACCACCATGTATGAATTTCAGCTTGTAGATCTCAGCTCCTCAGTTTGTCTACATGATTAAATGTTCTGAGTTATGTACCTCAGAGAAGAAGCCTTAGTATCCCAGTCCAGTATTTTCCTGTGTTTGGGACCAATGGCTTAGAATATTTGCCATCCTTGCTTCAGAGTAAGTGTCTCAGAATAAAGGGAATAAGTATATGAGTTTGAGGGATATTGCAGGAAGCTGGGGACTCAGTCTGGTAAATTGCTGAGACCACTGTGGTCTTGTTTCCATGTCAACGCATTGTGGACTCAAACAGTCACTGAAGGATTTTGGAGACCAGGTTCCCATTCATAAAATCATGACATGGAACTAACATCTCTGGTGCCAGCCATGACATTCCAGAATCAATTCTAGAGTAACCACCTGCTGTTAGAACTCCTCTTTGAGGATCCAAACAGATGATGGTGAAGTTTCTCCCTGTTGCTTAGGAGTGCTGACCACCAAATGGCTGGATTGTCTGATGTTTCTCAGCAGAGTACAGACTGTGACATCTGACCAAGAGAAACAATTATTGCATCAGCTCCGAGAAATCACCAGGGTCATGAAAGAAGGCAAGTTCATTGACACATCTACTCCAGAGAAGGAAGCTGAGGAAGCCCCTTACATGGAGGACTGGGAAGGTAAAATGTCCCCTTACTTCTTTATTAGCTATCACCCAAAAAGGACATTTAATGGGTTTCCTTAAAAATCAGTTTGGTACTGAGACATGACAAATCTCTGTTCTTACTTGTATAATGTTTACTGTTTATAAGTGTGCAATTGGAAAGTTTGGCAAATATGTACAGTTGTAGTCACACTATAGCCTCAGAATAGGACAATTTCATCACCCTAGAGAATCCCTCCCTCCTGTCTCTGGCAGCAGCTGAGTTGCTTTCCACCCCTGTAGTTTGGTTTTTCCTGTATAAATGGATCATATTGCAGATATGCTGTGGTGGGTGTCTGTCTTCTGGTTAGAGTAATGCATTTGAGATTCATCTGTGTTGCTGAGTGTATTGCAAGTTCTTTCTGAAATTGCTGGGCAGTATTGTATAAATATACCACAGTTTGTTAATCCACCCACTGGCTGATTAACACTGGGCTCTTTCTAGCTTTGAACTGTAGGATCTGAGCTGCTGTGAGGTTTGCATGCAAGGATTCACAAGGCTTCTTTTGGGCATACTGTGCTTCTCTTTTGATGCATGCTTAGGATTGGAATTTCAGGGTTTGTAGTGAGTGTATGTTTAAATTTATAGACATTGAGCTGGCTTTGAAGTGGCTGTACATTCCCATCAGCAGCTTGTGAAAGTCCGTTACCCCATATCCTTGCTAATGCTTTGTAAATGTTAGCCATTCCATGAGATTAGGGTGGCATCGCAGTCACAACTAAAATTTATATTTCCCAAGTGACTTATGATACTGAACAGTTTTCCATGTGCTTATTTTCAAACTGTATATTTTTGTTGAAGAGCCTGTTCAAATTATCTTTTTTTTTTTTTTTTTTTTTTTTTTTTTTTTTTTTTTTTCCGAGACAGGGTTTCTCTGTGTAGCTTTGGAGCTTATCCAGGCTCTGTAGACCAGGCTGGCCTCGAACTCACAGAGATCCACCTGCCTCTGCCTCCCGAGCTCCCGAGTGCTGGGATTAAAGGCGTGCACCACCAACGCCCGGCTCAAATTATCATTTTTGATTATTGGTTTGAATGTGTTTTTAAGTTACAACATATTTATTTATTATATGGAGGTATTTTTTGAGACAAGGTTTTGAGTTGTGCTTATTGCTAGGAAACCAAGTCTTAGTTACATAATTTCAAAATTGCCTGGTGTTGATACAGTAGCCCTGGTTGGGCTATATTCTCACTCAGGCTAGTCTTGAATGCATCATCCTTATACCTCAACATCCCTAGTACTGGGATTATATGTGTGCATCACCATGCCCAGCTATAAGGGTTTTTATGTATCTTGGATGCAAGTACTTTACCAATTAGGTATTTTACATGTATTTCCTCATAACCTGTAACTTGCCTTTTCATTTCCTTAGTAGTCTTAAAGTCTTCATTTTTATGAAGTCATATTTTTCATTTATCTTTTAATTCATATTTTTGTGTGTTCTGTTTAATGTTTAAGACATTTTGCCTAATCTAAAATGTTTCCTCTGGAAATCATATGGCTTTAGTGCTTGCATTTAGGCTTATTTTGAGAATATTTTTTAATTATTTTTTAATTAAAGTATATCATTTTCTCCCTTCCCTTCCTCCCTCATTCTCTCCCTTGAGTTAATCTTTATAGATGGTGAGTCATCCAGACTTAAATTTGCTTTTGCATATGTCAATACTATTCTCCTTTAAATTTGATGAATTGCTTTAGCACATTGGTTGAAAATCAGTTGTCTCTCTCTCTCTCTCTCTCTCTCTGTGTGTGTGTGTGTGTGTGTGTGTGTGTGTGTGTGTGTGTTCTAGGTGTGAAACCTAGAGCTTTGCACATGTGGGCACATACTCTATCACTGAGATCCATTCTTAGTTCAATACCAATCTTAGCCCTGAAAACATATACATACATGTAACATACAGATTGAGCAGGTTGTATTTATATATTTAGGAATGCACACATACATACATACACATGTCACAACAATTAAAGGAAAAGAGCCCTACATTGGTTTTTGAGTTCTAGGATGACTACAATCATGTGTTAAGACCTACTTTGTCATGATATATGTCTAGACTCAGTTTGCAAATGATTTTTCCCCTTTTACTAAAAATAGATTCTTTTCTCATATAATATATCCTGATTACAGTTTCCCCTCCTCCACTTCTTCCAGTTCCTCCCCACCTCCCTTCTCTTCCTGATCCACTCCCTTTCTGTATCTCATTAGAAAATAACAGGCTTCTAAGAGATAAGAACAAAACATAACAAAATAAAATATAATACTATAAAAACAAAACCATCACATTGAAGTTGGACAAAGCAAACCAACAGAAGGAAAAAAGCCCCAGGAGAAGGCATAAGAATCAGAAACCCACTTTTCACAAACTCAGGAGTCCCATAAAGTTCTAAGATGAAAGCCATAATATATATGCAGAGGACCTGGTACAGAAACATGTCGGCCCTGTGCTTGCTGCTTGAGCTTTGCTCAGTTGATTTAGAGGGCCTTGTTCTCCAAGTATCCTCTATCCATACCCTCTGGCTCTTACACTCTTTCTTCCTTCTCTTCAATGGGGTTCCCTGAACTCTAAAGGAAGGGATTTGATGGGGCATCCCATTTAGAGCTGTGTGTTCCAAGGACTCCCTCTCTGTGTAATGTCTGGCTGTGGGTCTCTCTATTTGTTTGCAACAGTTATTTTTTAATGCTGGTGTTTATAAAGGCTACTTACTAGTGATTTTCTTTTATCCTATACTGTCTTTGGACTTTATTTCAGAGTAATGCCAAGCACTGCCTCATAAAATGTACTGGGTTGCAGTCTTTTCTGGAAGAGTTCGTGTAGAACTACTGTTAATTCATAATCATTAGCGGAGTTTATCTGGACTTGGGAGATTTTTGTGTTTTGGAATGTGTGTGCAGGCACATGTGGGTAGACTTGCAAGAATAAATTGAATTTCTCTAATACATTAAGTGAGCTTTGAAAGTAGTTTTAAAAGTTTTACATACTTCATATAAATGTCTTGTTAGAAAAAAGTTGTTCATAATCTTCCCTAACCTACTTAGTGTCTATGACATGAGGGGAGTGTGTACTTCTCTGTCCCAATACTAATAATCTTTTCTTCCTTTTCATTTCTTTTCTTGATCAACTGGACAGAGACTTTAATCTTTTCAAAGGCCTGTGTTTTGTTTTCATTGTTAGGTTGGCTCTGGAGGATATGGGAGGGCTGATTTAGCCTTAGTAAGCCTTGTGTGAACCTGGTGTCTTACAAGTCTTCTACTCTGGAGAGTAGAACACAAACTGTTCCTACCTATGTATAAGCTTATGATGGTCTTACTGCTGATGCTTAGTGGCATCTTGTTTCTTTCCATGTTTATACTCAGCTACAAACATGAAGTTCCCTCTGTGTGTCTCTGAAGTGTTAAAGAAGCCCTGCTGTTCTCAGCAAATTCTGGCTTCCCTTCCTTCTCTGAATTCCCATGTCTGTTTTTCTTAACCCAAGGAACTCAGTAGGGCCCCTTTTCTCTTCTTGGGGATTACTTTAGACCACTTGTTTTACAGTATTTGAAGATCTGCAAAAGATATAAACAGACTTTTCAGCAAAGATGATATACAGATTGCAAATACACCCATCAAAGCATATTCAGCATAATTTCCCTCTTAGAAAAATGCATATTAAAATCAGAATATGATAGATGGGTATAGTTGTGTACACCTTTAATCCCATCAGAAGCAGAATCAGAGGCAAGTAGATCTCTGTGAGTTTGGGGATAGCCTGGTCTATATAGCAAATTCCAGGCAAGAAGGTTACATAGTGAGACACTGAAAAATTAGGATAGTGTGCTTCTCCATACCTTTCAGAATGACTGAAATAAGAAATTGCCACAGATTAGGATACAAAGAAAGTATGCATTGTATTAGTTACTTTTCTGTCTCTGTGACCAAATTACTTCCTTTGCCAATGGCAGGAAGACTTAGTGGAACATCCCATTTCACAACAGGGAGGGTCCAGGAAGCAAAGAAGTGAACAGGGATCCATCCTCAGCAATCTGTGTCTTCCAACTAGGCTTTGCCTCCTCCATAGCCTCCCAAAATAGAACTACCAGCTGGGAACCAAACATTCAAAATATGAGCCTGTAAGGGACATTTTGTATTCAATCCACAAGAGGATGTTTTGGAAAACAATGTAGTAGTTTGTTAAAAAAAAAAATCTAAGCATGTAAATACTGTTTAATACAGCAGTTGCAGCCTTGACATTTATCCCCATGAAATGAAGACAGAGACATATAGAACTTGTACATGAATATTATTAGCAACTTTATCTAATAGGTAAAAACTAGGATCAACTTGAATGTCCTTCAGCAGGTGAATGGTTAAATGGTAGTACATGGATAACATAGTATTCCACTAAGCAGTAAGAAGGAATGGATTATTGATACATGCAGAGACTTATGCTGAGTGAAGGTCAGCATGATTCTGTATGTAGAATACTCTTCAAATGCAAAGTTGTGGGGATAGATAACATACTAGCAGTTGCTAGGGGCTGAGGAGAAACATACCAGTAGGGAGGAGTGGGTGTGGCCATGAAGGGCAACAACATAAGGCAGCCTTGTGGATGGATACATTCTCTGCCATATTCTTTCTTTTTGTGTATGTTGCATGCTTGCATGTGTATGGGGTTGTGTGTATGTATGCCCATTCACATGTATGTGTGTAAGCAAGAGGTTGAGGTCAGGTGTCTTAATTGCTTTCTACCTTATATATTTAGGCAGGAACTCTTATTTAAATCCAGAGCTTTCCAATTTCACTAGTCCAGCTATCCAGCTTGTCTTAAGGATCCTGTCTCTGTCTCCCAAGCATTAGGATTATGGCAGGTCATTCATACCCACCTGCTCTGTACATGGGTGCTGGGAATTAAATTTCAGGTCTCATGCTTGCAGGACAAGTGCTTTTCCACTAAGCTACCTCCCTAGCTCCTGTTCTGCTAATGTAGATATCTTGTGTGGTGGTTTGAAAGAAAATGGGCCCCAAAGGGAGTGGTACTATCAGGATGTGTGGCTTTGTTAAGAGTGGCGTGGCCTTGTTGGAGGAGGTGTGTCACTATGGGAGTGGGTTTTGAGGTGTCCTATTCTCAGAATACTTCCCAGTCTATTAGTCAACTTATGATTGCCTGCAGGATGTAGGACTCTCATCTATTACTCCAGCATTATGTCTGCTTGCACACTGCCATGATGATAATGGAGTAAACCTCTGAAACTATAAGTGAGCCACCCCAGTTAAATGACTTTCTTGTAAGAGTTGCCTTGGTCTGGTGTCTCTTCACAGCAATAGAAACCCTAACTAAGACATCTTGGTTATGATATTATGCTATATTTTTCTTCATGCTATATTTCAATCTACCTATCTCAAGATAGAAAAGTAATTTATTAAAAGTAACACAAGAAGTTATAGCACAAAGATTAATGGTGAAGCTTTCTATACATAATATTTTCACCTTCTTAGTTAAGATTATATAAGAGTTTAAAAAGCTAACACTGGACTGGAAAAATATCTATGGCAAATATGGATAAAAACAAGTTGATGGGTTTAATGTATAATAAGTTCTATGACTAATGAAGAAGTCACTGAAATTCAAATAAACAGTTCACAAAAGAAAAAAATTCCACCAGCTGTAAAACTTGTGAAAATATTTCAACTTCACCAATCATCAATAAAAGAAATTTTTTTCTTCCAGTTTGAAAATCTGTATTTTACATTTTATTCCCAAATATTACTCTTTCCCTGTCATTTTCTACCTGCCTTGTAGGTTACATTGAAGTCACGTAGAATTTTAGCTATGGAACTAACTTTGAAAGATACCTGCTTTTTCTGCTTTAGGTATTGTTTAACCATGATATATTTCCTGCTACATTACCAATGTGACTATTTTACATTGATACATCACCCTTTCCATTTTTCTATTCATCTCTTCTTCCCTCCTTCCCTACCCTTCTCCCTTCATCCTTTCTTTTCCTGAGACAGGCTCTCACCATATAGTCCAGGCTGGCCTTGAACTCCTAGTCCTCTTGCCTCTGCCTCTTGAGTACTGTGATTTTAGGCATACATGGCTGTAACTATTTTCCCTGTCTCTAGTAGGAATTGAACTTATAGCCTTTGAACAGAACTTGCATGTTAGGCAAGTGCTTCACCACTGAGTTCCATCTGCAAACCATTTAAAAGGTTTAATGGGTCTTGCTAAGTTACCCAGTCTGGCCTTGAAGTTGCCTTGTGCCTTTTGCCCTAGGTAGCTATGATCTCAGGCTTGAGCGTGAAGCCTGCCACCACTTTCTAATAGCCAACTTCATGGTTACTGAATTTAACTTTTGATGAATTTTTGTATTTGTCAAGACAATGTCCTGCCATACTTTTGATGTTTACATGTTAAAGTCATGGTCCTTAAACTGACATTATTTGGATGTGGACCTTTAGGAAGTGTGGGGCCTCAGGGAAAGTCCATTGTTCATTTCATGGATGCCCTCAAAGGGGACTTGTGGCACCCTAACCACTTCCTCTTTACTTCCATGTAAGCAGCTTGGCTCTGCCTCGTGCTTCTGTTGTAATGTGCTGCTCTTGCCAGAGGCCTAAAGCAGTGGGCTTCCCAATCTTGGGTTTGAATCTCCAGAACCTTCAGCCACAATAAACCTTTCTCTTTATGAGCTAATTATCTTAGGTATTTCATGGAAGTAGCGTAGAGCTGACACAAGGGCATCAAGCATTTTTACTCTCTGTAAAGTGCCAGAGTTGAGAACACTTGGGTATCTATATGGAGTTTTTATCTTGCTGCTAGAACATTCATGGCCATACCATTTTCCTTAAAGTTGGAATATCCTTGTTCATTCTGTACTTTCCCTTGACTGAAAACAAGAAATCTTTCTCTGGTCTGATCCCTTCTCAGTGGGTAGACTGTTTATAGTTAGCTGTTTGTTTTCTGTATGGGAATTCATTTTCATCTTACATTTTAAAAATCTGAATTTGGTCACAGTCATTGGTTCTGTTTGTGTATACATGAATGATTTTTTTATACTACTTTGTTTTATACTACTTTTGCCCAGCAGTTAGTGAGCCTTCTGTCAGTGAGTAGATGTTTCCTTTCATCGTTTTTTATTGATGTTTTGATCTATTTTACTTTGCTTTCTCAGTCTAGTCATTCAAAATGGGGTGCAGTCATCAACCTCTACAGTTTCTCAGAATTCCCATTTGTCATTTGTATTTGTTATAGGAGAATTATTTAGTGTAAACTTTTAATGCATGGATTTGTTTTTCAGCCGTGTCCATTTTAATCTTATGACCTTTATTCCTGGGTATAAATTTTTCATCTAGTGATCATGCCTGTTTACAGGAATTCTATTTCCATTGCTCTGTATCCTCTCAAATGTCACTAGTTGACATGTTAAATCCATTCCCCATGTTGACTTTTATTGATGGCTGCTATATAATTTGCTTAGTTTGGTTTTCATGTTTTAACTGCTGTGTTTTTCCATGATCCTCCTGCCTCTGCCTCCTTCAGCAAATTCTATCGGCACGCGCCACCACAACCAGCCTGCTGTGTTTTTCATAGAAGCAGTGAATCCTTGTTGTTTGCTTATATCTTTTTAATGAAGTTTTAAAGTATTAAGTAATTTGGCATGAGCTACTTCAGCATTTGGGTGGGGCATTAGTAATAGTTTTGGGTTTGACATCAGTTTTATCAAGTATAAATATTTGATTTTTAGTTTTCCATTTATATGGGATATCTTCTATCCTTTCTCCTTCACTCTATGTATGTTCTTAGAGTTGAAATGAGTGTCTCATAGGCAGCATTCAGTTGGGCCTTTTTATTTTTTTCAAATCTATTTAGCCATTCTGTTGATTAGAAAATTTAACTAATTTATATTCAATGTAACAGTTGATAGGTAAGGACTTACTAGTGTCATTTAAACATTTTATTACATTTATTTGTGTGTTTGTGTGTGTTCTTATGCATGTGGGTGTGCAACAGTGTGTGTGTGTGTGTGTGTGTGTGTGTGTGTGTGTGTGTGTGTGTGTCTGTGTGTGTGTTTGTGGGGGGGTGTGGGGGGGGGAGTGAGACAGCCTATTGAAGTTGGTTCTATCCTTCCATTATGTTGGTCCTGGGGATGGAACCCAGGTTATTAGGCTTGGTGTTAAGTGTCTTTACCCACTGAGCTGTCTCACAAACCCCTGTTATTTTGATAGTTGTTTTCTGATTCTTTTATAGATTCGTTGTTCTTTTCCTCCCTGTCAGTCTTCCTTTGTGGTTTGATTTTGTTGTTTTGTTTGTATCTGTTGGTGGCTTTCTTAAACCCTGAATCTCCAGTGGATTACCTGGGGTTGGAAGGGACCATAAGACTGAGTCTGCAGAGGCTATGTGTTGGAATGGGCCTGGAACCTTGAGTCCATAAGGTCTAGTTCTGGAGCCATCTAAGGGCCTATCTTGCATGAGAAAGCTTTGTGGGCCTACCTTTAGGTCCTGAGACTGTGGAATCCACAGAGGTGCTTTGGAAACTTGGTTATATGTATTGGTCTGGTATTCACATCTACTGGAATGAACATGGGTCCACTAATCCAGTAAACTGTGGAGATTAGCTTCAAGACTGTACCATAAGTAGGTAAGTCTGGAGCCTGTGTCTGCATTTAACAACTGGGTTTCTGACTTCAAAGGTATCTTGATTCTGGACAGATCTAGAAGCTGTGGCTGGGTTTGCTAACTGGTTCAGGGCTGGTCTGGAACCCAAAGCTTGGTGTTGCTGGCTGGACCTGGACCTGGACTGGACCTGTGGGAGCCAGTATAGAGATTGCTAGGTGTAAGCATGATAAGTAGGGTCATGGGACTGTCCTGGACTTTATGCTGGAGTAGGCCTAATGCCTGGGGCCATGGAGGCCAGGATGACCTGAATCCAGGGGCTGCTGGATTGGGTTTAGAGTTTGAGTCTAATTGTCTTCCCTTCTATACCAAAGCAGGTAGTCATTGAAATGCAAAGCTCTTGGTGAAGAGTGAAGGCAAGCAAATGGACTTCTCTTGAGAAGTCAGTGGTTGAGATCTAAGCTACAAGCTCCTGCCCTGAAGTTGTGAAAGCCTTGGATAACTATTGCAGTCCATTTTCTATTGCTGTAACTGAATACCAGATGAGGTCACTTAAAAAGGATTGAGACTTATTTAGTTGATGGTTCTAGGAGTCTAAGAGCATGGGTCAGCATCCACTTGGCATCTGGTCAGAGCCTTCTTGCCGTGTCACTGTAGGTCAGAGGGCATCACATGGTCAGATAGAGCAAGCTTGATGTCTTCAGTTTTTCGTCTTACAAATCTGAATGCCATCTTGTAGAACCTACCTGCAGACCTGATTTAATCCCCTCCTAAAGATCTCCCCTCAAAATACCATTAACATATGACTTTGAGGATTGAGCTTCAACAAGGGTTTTGGAAGTGACACTCAAACCATAGAGGTGGTTACACTCTTGTTTTACCTAGCACTCTGTCAATTGTTGTTCTGGGAGTGAAGGTTGCATGGGCAAGATTCTGACATTCATGTCCATGCTGGTGGGGGTTAGTAAAAGGGGGTTCACATCTCTGGGAGAACTGGTGTTTTTTATGTGATTCTTCTGTAAAATAATTTGGTCTACTCTCCATATTTCTAGAAGCCAATCTTGAGGAATTGGAGTAGGTGATCTGGTTTTATATTCAGAGCTCCTCATTGTCATATAGTTTACAATGTGGACAAGTTTGAAGGAATCTGCTTGAATGTCTTATATATGAATAGTATTGCTTGCTTCAGCAGTACATATACTAAAATTGAACAATACAGAGAAGATTAGCACAGCCCCTGTGCAAGGATGACACGAAAATTCATGAAACATTCCATGTCAAAAAAATTTAGTAAATCATGTCAGTTGTATGATATGGAGAAATAACCATGACACATTTAAATCAAAAAGTATAGGGCAACAGTCCATATTCAACATGACCTTTATTAAAAAGGCTGGAAAATATATGGAAAATCCATATATGATTTTAAAAGCCAGAGATAAATTACCAGTGGTAGAATTCTAGGTGAATTGTGTTTTCTTTTAAAACTTGTCTATAATTAAAATTAGTAGGAAAAATATAATAAAATGAAGGCTATGCTACCCTCCTCAAAAATTCTGCAAAGTCATAATAACTTTTTATAATCAGAAATGTTGTAAAAATGTCTTTAGATACCTCACATTGTACCAAAAGATTGCTATTTTTCACAATTGATGGACAAAAATGTATTGGAACTGAATATACAGTTACCTTCAACATTCAAATGGATTTTGAATTCTCTAGCTTTCTGCATCGTGTAGTGAGCACTGCATTGCCAGAACTAGCGTATGAGCTCCAGCATGGCCCATCTGCTGCTCAGGCTGGGCTTGGCTGACACAGATTTATTTCATTTCATTCCTTATTTGGCATAGCCTCTTTCTCATTATCATAGCTGAGGTTCAGTGCCAGTGTTACTCATTTTGCTTACCTGTGTGTTGTTTTTGCCTTTTGTTCCATTTTGTGAGGATAAAGATGCTGATGGAAATTCTGTCTCTGAAAATGCAGCTCTTGTCCTGTGAGATCTTGGTCATGTTTTGCTAACTTGCCCCTGCTTCTGACACTTAGACTATTTTGGTTGTTTTGAAAATAGAAAGCACCATGCTTTATTTTTCAAAGGATTTAGCATCTCTTTTCCTAGCCCCACCCCCACCAGAAGATGTGGAAATGGTTCCAAATAGAAATTGTAAACACTAGCCTTAAGCTAAGCCCTCTCCATCTGGTACTGGTGCAATTTTTTTTTTTATGCTGAAGGCTCATGCTGTTTGCTTAATCTTCATCAGTGCTGCAGAGACATGAGGGGTGAGACATCCCTCTACCTCAAACACCTTAAGAAGGATTTTCCTCTGCCTTGGTTTTTATTTCAAAGAGCACAGGGACAGCCAGCCAGACTGCTAGGAATTTGTTCAAGTGAAACTTTAGGACTATTAGAACCATCTTAGAGATTTATTGAATGGATTTGTTAGCATAGGATAGCTGCTGCCAGAGAATCCTCTCTGATCCTGACACTTATTTTCAAAGATGCTCTTTGTAAGACTTTGTTCTGCTTTCCTCTCTAGGTTACCCTGAAGAGACTTATCCAGTGTATGACCTTTCTGATGGTATCACGCATAGGCAAGAAACAATCCTGGTGGATTACCCTGATCCAAAAGAGCCCTCTGCTGAAGAAATAGCTGAACGAATAGGAGCCATGGAAGAGGAAGGGTCGGAGCATTTGAACTGGGATCATTTGCCCACTGACTCTGGAGCCCAGAAAGATAATTCTGTTACCCTGTGTGATCCTAACCCAGAATCTTGCTCCTGCTGTTTTCATGAAGAGGAGGATCCTGCTGTCTTGGCAGAGAATGCTGGTTTCAGTGCAGATGGCTACAGTGAGCAAGAGGAAGCCACCAAGGAAGACTGGCCCCAAGACTTTACAAATGAAGGGTTGGGGGTCAGCACTGATAACACACACATGGGTGGCCTATTGAGGAAGCGCACCCCCCAGAGTTTAGAGTGAAGGCAGCCTCTTTGATGAAGTATCCATTATTCTACTCCCAAGGTATCTTTCCCAATTTCATCCATGACCCTGTGCCCTCTACTTCCTTCTGTGTTCAATATCATAGAACTTGGGCCACTACCATGGATATTATCTATACTTCCTGATGCTTGCACACTTGTCACCTTGTAAAGTAGACATTATCGTGAACACAGGACAGTATCACCTTTCTCTTCCTGCTTTTCTGCATCAGAGACACTAACCCATTAGGTAATTATACTTGGTTGATTGTGCTTAGAGGTGGTACCACCTTTGCAAAGGTCTGACTCCTCCTCATAGGAGTAACAGATGGTTTGCCTATGAATGAGCATTGGATTAACAGATGTTGGGGACTTAAGGTTTTAAGAATGAAGATTTTAGACTCCCAGATGCCTTATTCTTTGGGCCTTGAACTGGTTAGTAGTCTCCTGAGGAGATGAGCATGTTTATTTGTGAGGCTGAGGGGTCCAGAGCACAAGACGGCTGACTGAGCTGCAGCCTCCCTTTAGAGCCTTCTAGGTTAAGGTCCCCTGGCTCCTCCAGAGTAGCAGGCTGTGAACACACAGTCTTATCTGGAGACCATTTTGCTTGTAGATTGCCTTGGTCCCTAGCTTCCCTTATCCTTACTCTATTGAACAGAACTTCCAGTCCAGAAACACCTTTGTACATCTGGTCATCTGTGGCTAGGGGAAATCTGAGGCATAAGTACTAGTCTGTGTTCCACAAAGATGAAGTATGAGGCTTTTGAAGCTACAGGCTGGCCTAAGTATGGTGTCCTTTCCATGAGGAGTTCATGTGACCTGTGAATCCTAACGAGGGTGAGTCAATTGGTTTATATGTAAGACCTGCAAGTTGAAAGAAGGTGTGTCCAAGGATATTCCCAGACATGAAATGGGGAACTCAGAAATTAATTATCTGTGGAGGTGGATACACTCTTTAGAGTTCTATTATGCCTGACATGAGTAATACGCCAGAAAAGTTTGTACCACTCAGAGCATCCTGGCTGCCATCAGAAGGTAGGGGACCACACTAAGATAGTCAGCTACTACAAAGCTTTATGTGTTTGTTGGACTAGAAAAGGCCCTGAAGATTGAGTCTTGGTGTAACTATCACTAAGTGTAAAAACCTGTGTAGGTACTCTTGTTTTGGGAATTGTTTTCTGTGTGGTTCCCTAATCCACCATGTGAAGCTGATTTAGGATAGCCCTGAGTTCTCATTTGTCCTTGGGTACGATCCTGTTACAAGAACTTCTTTCTTATTCATTCATCAGTTGCCCTGTGCTGAGTACTAAGACTGAAGAGTTCCAGTTTAATATGGGAGCCTGACAGATGCACTATGAACTATAGGAAGGCTTGAGATTGTTAATTCTTCAGGCATAGAAAACTGGGTCCTGATCTTCCCTGTAACTCTGGCTGTAGAATTTTGGATGGGTTCCTTAGGCAGTCTGAGCCTGGTTTGGGCATCTGTAAAGTAAGGGTAGTAAAAACACAAGTCTCACAGGGTTATAAATGTAAATGAACCAGTCAGTGTGCATAAGGCAGCCTGACTAGCTCCTGCATAACAACATAGCATGTGGTAGCTATTTTATTACAGTGTGGACCCAAAACTACAGGACCATGGAAGAACAGGAATTTTTTTGCCAAACTACCAGTACATTTCAGAAGAGACTTTGTGGCATGCTAAGAACATGAGCAAGGAAGAGAGGACATTTTGGCAGAATAGTGGGGTGAGTACATGGATACTTAGCTGAAAGAAGTTACAGAGTCAAGTGTTATTATTGGGGATTAGCTATGGAAACAGTTCCTGCCAGAAGGACCAATCCCTTGTGGTTCTTGCCATTGTAGATAGTAGTTTGCATATAGGAATATATTTGTCTGTATACACCAAAAACTTCAATGTACCTTTACAGTAATTTAGAATGTAGGCTTTTTTAAATATATATTTTTCAGACTTGTATCCTTTGGATATGATGATTTTACATGTATATCCAATCTAGGGGGACCTATATCAAGGGGCTGGTTTTCATTATGATGTTCATTCTCAGTGTTAAAGGCTGCAGATTTCATCAAGGCCTTGCCATTAGGTTTGCACTGACCTCTGGGGCGCAGTAGCAGTAGCTTAGCAGTAGCTAAAAAGCCACTGCACATCACCTAGGACCATGCTTGGTAACTCAGGTGGATGATCAGCCAGAAGGTCCCCTAATGTGGTCATAGTAGGAACAAATGACAGTACCTCATTATAATTGGGCCCGGAGGTATGTTGAGGAGTGGAGATGGTTTAAACCTCTAGAAGTCTGTCAGAGACATGTTCTTTGTACTCAGACTTAGGTGATACAATAATTTATGGTCTGCACACAGACACTTTGAAGAAAGGAAATTAACATGGCATAATTAATACTTTATCACTGTGACAAAATACCTAACCAAGGCAACTTAATGCAGGAAGAGCATAGAGTTTGAGGGCGGTTCTTCCTAGCAGTAGGAGCCATGAGGACTTGTTCAGTCAGGGAGCAGAGAGAGACAAATGCTAGCTCTTGGCTTGTTTGCCCCCTTTTATTCAGTCTGGGACCCCAGCCAATAGGATGCTGCTGCCCACAATGAAGATGGGTCTTCCTCAACTAAGCTGTCTTGTAAACTGTCATAGGCAGGTGTGTTTCCTTGGCATTCTAAATCCCATCAGGTTGGCAATTGAGACTAACCATAGAGGCAACAGGTGTAAACCAAGATCTTCCTGGACATGTGTTCTACAGATTTAGACTTTTTTCATCAACCTGATGATGGCTAAACAAAACCCTTTTCCCTTTTAGAATATCCTGTATATGGTCTTCCTCACAAAGACAGAGGCTGGGGAGCCAGACCTTGATTCAGGTAGGGAATGCTTTAAATCACATCAAAAACACCTGAGTACAAAGTGAACCCTATTTATAGATCTGCTCTTCAGTTCTTTTATTTAGACAATTTGTATCCAGAAAGAATATTTTGTGTGCTACTGTTGAACAGTGATCAGAAAGAACACAAACCAACTATCCTGTAAGCCATCAGTTAAAACATACTTTCTAGTATCAAGAAAACAGGGCATTCCTTCACTTCAGAGGATACCAGTGTCCTTGTAGATAGACTGGGAGTTATGTCCACCTTATAGGATTGTTTATGGAGTACTTGTCCCAAAGTGAAATGTGCAGTAGGTGCTTAGCACCATCACTGTCTTTTATCTCTTGCTTCTGGGCTGCCCCACTTGCTACCCTCTCTAAGGCCACTCTGACAGCCAGGATTGGTCCAGGGTCACTCTGTGGGGTATACGTGACTTTGTGATGACTCCCTTTAAGAGCAGACCATTAGCTCTGATGCCTGTTTTCAGTAACAACTACAGGCTTCCATCATTTGGCTTCAAATCTACCACAGACTGAAGAAGATCCCCACATATGTGTAAAAGTCCTGTTTAAATGGGCCCAGCTCTGAACATGGCCTGGAGTCATGTGGCTGGGCTTTTCCCACCCTTGAGTCATACATCCCAATTCTGTCCACAAGGACTGTGCCCACCAGGCACACTTAGGAAATACTGGCCACTTCCTTAGGGTGACCCAGATGACCGTGAAGTATCTTCTAGCTTCACTTTCCCCCCCACACACTATGGATGTGGCACCACAGGAGCAGACAGTGTTGACCTGACAGTGTTGACCTGTTATGTTGCTGGTTTTAAACACACTCTGTGCCTTTTTCAGATGACCGTGAAGTATCTTCTAGCTTCACTTTCCCCCACACACACTATGGATGTGGCACCACAGGAGCAGACAGTGTTGACCTGTTATGTTGCTGGTTTTAAACACACTCTGTGCCTTTTTTGTTGCTACCCATCTGACCTTTTGAAGGTCCTAGGAATGAAAACATTTTTTTCCTCCATGAAAAACAAGGACACAGCAGTCAAACAGTTCAAGTTTAATTTGTTGATACATGTCTGTACTTAGACAAACACTAAATTCTACAACATACATAATGTCATTATGGGAAAATACCAAGTTTGTCATTGCACATACCAATAAATAAATACATTTGCTTCAGAATACCAAAAAGTTTATTCAAAAAGTCACTTAATAAAAGCACAGTTTTGCAAGTTTGTCTAAAACTCCAGATAATTTTAAACAAAAATAAAATGTCTGACCACTCCAAAATAGGAAAAGACAATCATGTGCAAACAGACATCCATGTTCTAGGCGCTGTGAAAACTGCTAGGTGTGCTCCCAGCAAGAGAGATGCTGCCTGTCCTCACCAGGCTGGTCACATCCAGGAGGCTGGAGCTGGGCTTCCCCCTTCTATGCTACTCTGAGATGCTCTATAGAAGTCTCTAGATTTCAGACTCATCTCCAGCTCTCCCTAGACCTCAATGGGGGAGGAGAACAGAGGAGAGGGGTGCAGTATCTTTCTTAGGAAAGAAAGAAGGCACAGTGATGAGCAAGGAAAGGTAGTGATGAAAACAAGGGTTAGGTTAACCTTCACTAACCAAGCTTTGACAGCCTGCATCTTTGTCTTGCAGGTAAGGAGACAGATGGAGGATTATGTAGTTTTCTCAAATACTCTAGCTGCTGTAAATGCAATTCTATGTTTCTGGACCAATTCACCTCTGCACTGAAAACCCATCCCAGTACTTAAGATCTTGAAATGACAGAAAATTGCAAGCTGGAAGTGAATAGAGCAGATGGCCATAAACTAAGAAACCATCCCACGGCCTGTTCTGGAGACTAGAGCAGGTCTATAAGCCAGATCCTAGGGCAGTATAAAGTCCTAACTCTGCAGGTGAGTTGGACCCCAGTCACAGTGCTAGGCACCACAGAGAGCATAGTTTGATGGCACCTGGAATCCCATGAGGATATGACAGCTGGGGCAAGGAATATAGAGAAGGGAAGAAGGCCAGGGCTGCTGCTAGGGGAAACCAGGCTGTCCATTAAGGAGATCGGTGTTGTGCTTGCAGAGCAGAGCTGTGAACATGGCTCCTCCCTGCAGACCATATCTGAGCAGTCATTCCTATTACTTAAACTTAGAACTTCTACTTCTAAAGTTTGGAGGCAAATACCCTGCCATTTCCAGAAAGAAGGGACAAATAAACCACTTCTACAACATTGTTGCCTCATCAATGAAGGTAGGTTTACCCAAAGTTCTCATCCAGCCTGTCATCACACATCTTGACTCCCAATACCTGTCTTCCCACAGGCATGCACCTGGCTTGCTTCCCCTAGTGTCAAGATTGTTAAGGCACCATCACTATACCGTGCTCATTTAAAAGAATGCACATCTCAGCTCCTTCTCCAGTGAGACCAATACTACATTTCCTTGACAGTCTCCTACTTGGAACCATGGGAGAAAGAACATGGAAAGAAGAGACATAATCCACAGTGGTCACAACTGCCTTCTCAGTCTTTCCCTACTCAGATGTGATCTTAACTTCTGTTGGTTGATTGCAGATTGCCCTTTCCTCCAGACATACATGCACACACACACACACAGATGGACACAGAGCACCTTGGAGCCAGAAGGACAGAAAAAGCTAGACATGGAGAGGACTTGGGGAAGCTAAGGTCACCACTCTGCAGAGGAACTGTTTTGGAACAGAGGGTGGAGAGTTTTAGGATGTAGAGCCAGTAGCATACAGAGGAGCTGCCTAAGGTTCCATCTGCCCCACACTCTTAGGGACTGTCCACTCATCATCACTCTGCTGCCTAGTCAAGGACCAACTAAGAGAAGAGGATGTGAAAGATAAGAAATCTTACCATGGGAGAGGCTGAACCCAGGTGATCCCCGGGGCCCTGGTATTTGAGGTCCATGATCCTGTGCTCATAAAAGGCAATGTCACCAGGAGCTGAGTCCTAAGATCTGACCTTGTGATGCTGGTCTGAAGCAGATGACTCAACTGCTCTTGTCACTCAGTGCCCAACAGAGGGTCTTGTGCTGAGGCTGCCTTTCCCCACAGTGGGCCTATTTCCTGGTGCTACCAAATTTATATTCAAATAGCCAACAGTCCCTTTTTTGTGTGCTAAAGCAGAAAGCAGAGGTCAAGAGTTTTCCATTGTGCTTTCAGTGCCACCCTTAACCCCCCTTTTTTGTGTGCTAAAGCAGAGGTCAAGAGTTTTCCATTGTGCTTTCAGTGCCACCCTTAACCACGAGGGGCTCTTCTACCCACTAGACTCCAGAATCAGCCTGTTCAACCTTGAGATTGTAAACCCAGAGAAAGAGCTTGACTAGAATGAAGATCTGGTTTCTACCACCTCTAAATTCTTAAAGAGTTAGGGAAGGAGGGCAAACACAGAACTGTGGGAAGGAAATAGATGGCACTGTAATCTTTCATCAGGAGATAGGGCAGCCCCAGCATAGAAGTCCTGGTCCTTCTAGAAACTAGACTGTAAACAAAGGCTAACTTACTGGAAGGTCCTCTCATGGAGATGTATGGCTCAGGTGTATCGTCAGATCCTGCTGCAGCAGATGTGCCTTGCTTAAAAGGAAACAGGAAAATCCCGATTTTTTTTTTCCTTACGTACTATTTCCATCAATCCAGCTTCCTTACCTGTAGAGCCTCATTTACATATTCAAAGTGTGACTTTTTAAATTTCTACTTAGCTTCTGAGCATATCTATTTTAAAGCAGTGTCTAAGTGCTCTTTGCTTCCCACTGGTTTCTTATCTCCATCTAGGCAAGAAGCTTCTTGCAAATGACACACAGACAAGGATTAGAGTTCCCAAGCCCACCAGATGAGTGGTGCCATCCAAGGAAAAGTGGCAGTGGAGGGGATGTCCAGACCCAGTCCTTAAACCCTCAGGCTGCCTGTCACATCTACACAAAGAAGTGCGCAGTGGCCCTGCTGAGGTCTGCACAGCTTGAAGCCCTCAGAGAGGGACCAGGCACAGGCCAGATCCGTTCAGACAACTTTCAACAAGGAACTGCCTGATGCCCTACTGAAAGGTTTTCAATCTTAGACATTAACTCTAAGGGTCCAAAGTCTCTGGAATTGGGAAAGGAAAGGGCATGCAGAATGGACCCCAGAAAGCCAGAGAGTCTAGTTTCTGGGCAACAATAGGAACAAAGGAACTTAAGGTTCTGAACTCTGCCATTAACCAGTTAGGTAACCAAGAGACAAGTCCCATGTTCTCGGGGATCAGCATTGCTTTTGGTGAGCCACACAGTCCTACCACATCTGACCTCTTATGGCCCTAAAATATCCTCTGCCCTCCTCACCTGGTTCCATTCCCCTAAGAACGGCACACAGCCCTCAAGGATCAGGGCATGCTGGCAACAGTGGGAGCTGGGTCTTCCCAGAGAGGACATTATTCCTGAAGCATGCCATTACTTGAATGGTGACCTATCCTATGTAGATGTCAGAGGAGTTGCGCTGGGGCTGCTCGACATCCAAGAGCCCTGATGGAGGGAGCCTACTTGATGACTCCTATAACCCCCACCCACTCAGATATTTGGCCTTGAGAGCTGGGTTCTTGCTACCATTCTAAGCCACCAGCTAATTCACACAGCCAGGCCCCTGTAATCCTAGCAAGGTCTGCCACTCACCTATCCCCACCCCCCAACTTCCCTTAGGCCTGATGGGCCCTTCTGAGTGGGAGTACTTTCTGCTGACTGCCAGGCCCTTTGCTACATAAAGCTTAAGTGCCCTATACACACACATACACTCACTGCACCCCTACCTCCTGGGACACCCATTGTCCTCTTGACTTGTAGGCTGAGTGGATGGCTGGGCCACAGCAGCCCTGCTTGTGCTTCCCCACCCTCTGTACCTCCTGCTGAAGAGGTCACCCTATGCGGTAAACAACTGTGGTAGGGTACTGACACAAGGTTGGTTATGTGTGTTGACCTTGGGGCACAGAAATACTCTTTTCCCTTCATACCCATTTGCTGTCCCCCTGCTTCAGCAGCAGAGGCAGAGCAGCCAGTTTCTGGTTGGTAAGGCCAGAAAGCCCACTGAGGGCCTATGAACAGAGGGGAGGCAGGGCTGTCTCCGCAGGCAGGCAAGCTCCACTCCAGACCGGGCCACCCTAAAGGCAGAGGAGGCCTCTACTCACAGGCCAGCTTGCTGTCAAAGCTGGACAGCGCAATGGCAAAGGCCTGCAGTGCACACAGTGGGTAGTTGTAATCCATGGTGAACACGTCTTCCGCTACCCGGCCAAACTGCATGACGATGTAGTCCGCTGTGGCCATGCACAAGCATGATGGTGGAGACAGGAAGAACAGGTAAGACAGGCCACGAGAGGGAAGGAAAAAGAGACACCAAAGGATGAAAAAACAGGCTCAGGAGAAGAGCCAGGTGTGAGGAGCAAGAGGGTAAAGAGGAGTGATGGATACAGACAGCAGGGAAATGGGGAAGAAAGACATCCATTTAAAGAGTGTTCCCAAGTCCCAGGTTTGGCTGGGCACACAGAATCTAGGACCAGGGCTCTCTAATCACTACAGTTGGAAAGATCTTTCTGATATAAGCCATATACCCACATCCTGTCACTGGCTGGTATGGACTGGGGAGTGGGGGCTAGGCACCACTATACAGTGTCAATAAGGAGGGCAGCAATACTTACGGTCATTCCCATGGATGATCTGGAAGTTCTTCACAGAAGCCTGTGTGACACGCCCATGGAAGTTGAGTACATAGGACTGTGTGTCATCATTCCAGACTGGTGTCTTGTTTTGCAGCTCGATGATGCTCTCCGTGTTCTTGTTCTGCCAGCGCGCTAGCAGTGTCTCGTGCTCCTGGTGGTAGGAAAGTGGGGGCAGCTTTACTTGAGCCAGACCCAGCCTTGGCATCATAGCCACCCAAAGAGGGATCTTACCCAGGAACGAGACTTCTTAGAGTTCCCTAAACTTCCAGGGTTTCTTGAATTGTATCCCCTACACATACACCTTGGGGGAATTCTGCCCTTAGAAGCTTATTCAGAGGCTGGGGCATGGGGAAGCATTAGAGACTTACATTACGGGGACGGATACAGACTCTCTCATGAACCATGTTCATGCCTGGGACAATCACACTCATCTTCCGAGGTCCCTTGAAGCCTAGGACATTGGTCTCCTGGGAAAACAAGAGAATTTAGCGCCAGCTACTTTGAATTGCTTACCCATGGGGAGACTGGACCAAGGAGGCAAAGATGAAGAGGAATAAAATGTCTCCAACATCTATATACTTGATAGTCTAATAATCACTCTAAATTTAGCACAGTCTAAATACAGCCCAGCTTGCTTCAGTCAATGGCAGCTCAGCACTTAACATTCACTCACGTGAACTGGAGTCACACTAACTTCACTCTCATGCCCCATTCCTAATGCATCCACAATTTCTATCAGGTATATGTTCAGATTACACCAGAATCTAAGGTCACCAGACAGTCACTAATGCAACTCTTATGTTTCCGCCCTGGGCCGCCAAGGCTCTCCTCCCCACCATCTGCTCTCAACACAGCACCCTCACTATCAGTCCCGGTAAAGGGTATGTTTTTTTCCCCTATTGAAAACTCTTAGTCTATCTTCAGGGCCCTGTGTGATTTGTCCCCTAGTACTTAGTTTTCTTGTTATCTTAACTCTCTTCTGCAATCACACTGCCCTCAACAGACATGCACAGCTGGTTTTCATGTCTGATCTTACCCAAGAGTTAACTTGGCAAGAGCCTCCCTAAAGGTCCACATGCGCCTTGACATTTCATATATCCATATCTCTAACTTGATTTTTGAGCATTGATCAAAAACATATTTCACTTACATCTGTTTTATGGCTTGTCTCTCAATAAACATTTAAATACTATAAGGGTTTGTTTCTATTTCTGACATCCCAAGTCGTTCCGACAGTACCGGGAATATAGATGGGCTCAGGCTGCTTCTCTAAATTTGGCCAGCAGGTGGCACTATGGGATCATGCAAAATGGCTGAGCAGTCAAAGTCTCTTAAGTATCCCTGCCCAGGTTCACAGGGCACTCCATCCTTCACTTTTAAGAGTGAAGAAACCAAGTTTGTAACAGAGCATGCTCATATATTTATATTCCAGTCTTGTTCTTGTTGGTATAATGTTAGAAAATGACCCAACTCCAAGCTTCAGTTTCCAGACCCCAGAGGGAACAGGATCTCTGTTCTGAAAGGGCCTAGGATCCCTGCAGTGCCTGGTACTGTAGCTACAGCAGGGAGATGGGAGTGAGGTCCAGAAAGGAACCCAGGATCCTCCTGGGTCAGGCTGCAGGGCCAGAGATGGCTCCCCAGAGATCTGTAGGCAGTTAGCCTGCTGTGGTCAGAGCCCTAAAGATAGGTAAGATCTGGGTCCCTGTCCCACACAGGGTAACTCTACAGAGAACAGCCATTTAGACATAGCCTTGACCAACCATCAAGATAAGTGGGGTGGTCCCCACCCCAGTCAGGCACTATGGCCTCAGTTACACTTCTACCTAGAAACTACGAACTCACATAGCACACAGCAGCCAGCTCCTGGCGCAAAGTCCCACTTTCCAGTGTAGAAGACGATGCCTTCTGAGGGTTGACGCCATTGTCATAAACAGTGAACTTCGTGCCCATCAGGTTGGACCTGAAAGAAAGGCACAATCAACAGGCTTGTATGCCTCTTCCCATGGCATGGCACAGCCTGTTCTCTTACAAGAAGCCTACAGGACATTATGGGATGGCCAGGGGCAGACCTGGGGACACAGTGGAGGTACTCCACAAGCAGTCAACTCTAAGTCAACACAACTCAACGGGCATCTCACTTCAATGAAGGAAATCCAGGGAGTGAGTCAGTGTTCGTGGGTTCTATGAACCAGAGGTAGGACAGAGACACTGCTTTTTCTGGAAAGCGCGCCGAGTGGCATCTAGGAGGCCAGGGAGGAATCTACCTCATGGAGAAGGGCTGTCTGTCCTTTCCAGGGCTATGTCCAACTTTGGCTACTCACATCTTCACTTACTCTTCCTCAAGGAGACCTCACTTGAGGCCTCCCCATCTCACCTCTTCAGGGCTTCTTTGCAGCCCTGATCCTTGTCTCTGACCAGAGAGCCAAAGCAACTCTTTCATGGTGGCCAACGTCATTGGCAACATCCTGTCACTCACGCTGGCCTGTACCCAATACCTTGGAGCAGCTTAGTCCTGTCTGACTCACGGCTGGGCATTCATAGATTGGCCTGTGGTTGGGCTTGATGGAGATGACCTCATTCAGAGGTATCAGAAGGCTTTCTGCTCCCCTCCCTCGCCTTCCTACAAGAGCACTGGTACCGTAATTTCCCAATATAGCTGTCTCCTCCCCGAGACAAGTCTGTTGGGTCCACAGAGATGAGGTAATTGGAAGTTTTGCTCTTCTTTCTCTTCCTTCCCGCTAGGAGGAATACCTTAAAGAGTAAAGCAATATCACAATCCAGATCCAGCCTCTGGCCCACGTTTATGGTGGCCACTCACTCTCTCTCTCACACACACACAAACGATCACCTTGCTTCATCTCCCCCAACACATCTATATGTGCGCAAACATACAAGCACCGACAAGCCCATGAGTCCACCCAAAACACTTATTTCCCTGGAGGGCTGAGAGGCCAGTGTCAGAGCTGAGCTTCCCTCATATTCTAGCCTCTAGGTCTTCAAACTGAAAATACATGCGCAGAGAAACCTCACCTTCTTGCCATCCTCACGGTCTAGGTGCAGAAAGTAGGTGGGGTACATGCCCCGGTCCATCCCCTTCTTGTCCCGAGTGATGCGGCATTTGACGGTGATCCCTTGTGGGGCCGGCCTCAGAGCAAACTCCTCTAGATCCTGGACCTCAATTTCTACTGGTGGCTCTGGAGCTGCTGGACTGGGGGCGGAGGCTGCCTCCTATGGAGAAGAGAGTAGAAGACTAAATCAAAAGGCTCGCCACTTCAGATTGGTGGTCTAGGATAAGAGTCCGCCTCCTGATTCAGTCGGGGTCGCTGGAATGTGGATGTGGCCACCGTGCCCTAGTGTCAGGAGCTATCTGCTAGCTTCTCCCCTTTCCTCAGCAATTCCCGGTGGCAGAGACAGGAATAAGAGCAGGTTCTCAGGAGGTCATCCTGTCCAAGTCCAACTCTCCCTGCATCCTAGCCCTTGCTGAAGAGACAGGAGACACAGTGGGAAAGCAGAAGGGCCGAGTTGGAGAAGCGTCATACTAACAAGGAAACCCAAGGAAAGCCAGCACCTTCTAATGTTATCATTATGCAACCAACCACCTCATCTTCTGGTTATCAACTTGACATAGTATAGAGTCAAGGGCGTGATGAGGATTGTGCTTGCCCAGACCAAACTGACCTGTGGCCATGTCTATGGTGGATGGTCTCGATGTGAGAGGGCTCGGCCCACTGTGGGTGGCACCATCCTTCAGCAGGTAGGCTCGGGCTGTATAAGAAAGCTAACTGAGCATGAAGCTGAAGTGGGTGCTGTTGTGCACGGAGTGAGTGAGCCCGCAGGCAGTGTTCCTCCATAGCTTCTGCCCGAGTTCCCTCAGTGACGGACTGTGACCACTGGGACAATGACGGCTGTGACAGTGGAAGCCAAATAAACCCTTTCCTCTTCAAGATGCCTCTTGTCAGTGTTTTTATCGCAACAGATAACGACCTAGAACACCACCCCTAGGCAGCCCTAACCCCTGATGTCAGCCTCTTACTGGGGATAAAGGCTGCTCCACTTAAGTTACCTTGATGGACTTTCTGCTAGTGGCAGAACTAGGGCGGGTGTTGCTGTTTAGCTGGGAGGAGCTAGAGCTGTTTTCATCCTCATCCTCTTCCTCATCAAAGCTCATGCTGCTGGAGATGCCTACGGTGAGCAGAGGACATGGAGGAATGAGCAAACAGACAGATTTTTATAATGAGAATACAGGTGGTCACATGGAGATGCACGTTCAGACACTGACTCACCCACACCCAGGCACTCATACAGCCATCTGCACACCCTCACATTGCTGTACGTACTCCCACTCATCTAGACACATACAAGGACACATGTTCTCTTTGGTGCACGTGCACACATGAGCTGGGACTCATCATGATTCTCTTTGGGATGTATCCCCACCACCCAATTTTAGCTCAGTCCCTACATCACACCTCTTTAGTTACATCATCCCTATCACTTGTGTAGCAAGGCCCGAGCTGAGCTGAACCTGCACAGGGACCATCCTCTTCTGACTAGAGGCCATGGGTGGCATCAGCCACAGACTCTGACAAGGACTCTGACTTAGGTCCTCATTCAGTCTGTGGGTGGGACTGACTGATTTCTCCAGCTTGCCCTGAGCCTGTCTCAGCTGTCCTCCCTGACCCAGAGTACCACTCTGGGTGGCCCTAAAAGTTCTTTCCCCATGAAGCAGTCTTTTAGTAGGTCCCTCATAGTGTATGTGGATCTGCCAGGCTGCACCCAGGATTCCCTGGAGTAAGGGAATGCCAGAGAAATTGGGCAGTGTGTTTCTAGGAAAGATATGCCCAGCCTCCCAGCAGCTCAGCAGACAAATGGACAACTTCTTGTTGTCCAAACAAAAGGGAAAAGAAATCTGCACATAAACCTGGGCCTCACAGGAGTTACAGACAGGGATAGGCTGCTGGCTGCTACCCCAGTTGATATTGCTTTTTATTAACTTGACCTCATCAGGGGCTCTGGCCCAAAACTTCTCATCTGATTCCAATAATGCCCCTCCATGACATCCAGGGAGGGACTGGGACCAAACACAAGAAGGCTATTTTCTTGGAGATGAGTGCATCTAAGAACCTGGGACTGAGCTTTGGTCCCAGCTGGGCCCCCATGGGGCTCACCCTTCCTCTGCATCGTGGCACGGAGCTCCTGCCCGCTGGGCCGTGTGCCCCCACCGGCTGCTGTCTCCCCTGCATCCTTGGCGTGGTCTGACTGTCCCACAGTCAGGATCTGCACTGGGCCTTGGGCCTCAGACTTGTCTTCTGCCAGGGTTGCTGGCCCGCTGGTGCCTGCAGGCCAGATACTCCTGAGTTACATCCAGAGGGAGAGGAAAGCCTGGACTCTCAGGTGTCCATGAAGGGAGAGGGATGGAAGACAGGACCCTCTGCAAAACCTCATTTTCAAAACCAGTTTAAAAAAAAAAACTAACGACTACTGTCAGCCTGTTAATACTCGGTAAATTGAGAAAGCCTGGACTCTCAGGTGTCCATGAAGGGAGAGGGATAGAAGATAGGACCCTCTGCAAAACCTCATTTTCAAAACCAGTTTTTAAAAAAAAAAAAAAAAACTAACGACTACTGTCAGCCTGTTAATACTCGGTAAATTGTAGAGGGACATGGCTTCATTTCTTCTCTTTTTTCCCCCCAAAATAACTGCCAAGGGTTGGTTTGAAATACTCCATATCCTTAAGACAGACAATACCATCTACAAAATCAACTGCACAGTGGAAAGAACAAGACAGAAAACAAAGATCAATCCAAACCATAACTGAGGGCTGTAGTCCTTCCTGGACACAGACATCTACAAGCTACACATGCTGGTGTTCTCTCTTCACACACTTGCACACATACAATACACTCACATACATCATTAAAACAGGGCTCTCCCTCAAAGGTTACGGTTGGCACCTAGTTGCCTTCCCAAGCACATGGCCTCTTGTCCCATGTGCCCTGTCATCTGCATGCAGAGCCTGCCTTCTTTGCATTTCCTGCTCAAGGGGCTGCAGCCTGAGTGACAGAAAAAGACCTGGCCCACAGGTGGTGGCTTCTCTGCCTGGCTGAGCATTGCTCAGTGCTAGAGAGCCAGCTCCAAGACAAGGATCCTGACGCCCATGTTCAACTATGACACAGTGGCCTAGAAATCAATGGTCATGAACAAGGATTGAAGAAACGGCAGCCAGGAAACAGGACTTGGGGAAATGGCCACCATCACGGTCACTGATCTCTAGAAATCTGTTAGATTGAGGGGCACAGGGAATACATTGGTCTGTGGGTCAGAGAGGTTTGGAGACAGGGCAGGAAATTGGGAGAAAT